AACCATGAAAGTCATTGGTACTATATGTATTTAAAAAAATAAGTTTTGGTTGCAGACCTTTTTTTTCATTATTTATTAAGAATATGTATTTTCTGTAGTTCCCACCGACCATTATCAACATGACTTTATATCTGTCTTTCATCCTAGCCAAACTTGAAATGTTCACCTTCAAAAATGAAGGAAGGTCATTTTGCTTTATACGTTTGGATTACACAATCTATAATAAGGTGTATTTTAGGCTTAATACTTAACCTTGTTCCACTGCACCAGCCAAAATTAAAAGGCAGCCTGTCCTACAGACCCGAACATCAACATATGCTTGTATTTTCTGCCTCCCAGTACCAACAGGTATAAAATGAAAGAACTGTTCAGACTAATACAAAGGTAAGTGAATAATTAGATCACTTTTATAATCACCTGTGCAACTACAAACAATTTTTTCCCTGGATTTTCATTCTTTCACATGTGGGGTTTTTTTAAATCCTTGAAGACCAGTGCATATGCTCTGTACTGTACTTCTCAGGTGAGAAGTGCAGCAAGAGAACAACACCAGGCAAAGGTGTCCCTGAATTGTTCTGCTCATCCAGACTTGGCCTTTGGCACTATGCAACCTGCAGTGACTGTGATGATGCCAAATGCACCAGTCCCCCTCTTCTTCCCAGTCTTATTACTTCTTCATCCATCCTTGCAAAAACTTCCAGGCCAGAGCTATGTGGTCCCACAGACCACCCTGTAGTAGGCTCTTTACAGTTCCCACACTGGCAGCGCTCTTCCTTTAGCCATTTATAGAGAGGGAGTGGAGAACAGAAACAAGAGTGGGACCAGAGTCTCGTCCACAACCTAGAGCTCGACATGATTTTAACCTTAAAAAAAAAAGAAAAATTAAAATAAAAATATCTAACAGCAGACAGGAATGTCTGAGTGCTTGACCAAAAGCGCTTATCAGAATTCTTGTAAAAAATATTTCCCATATATTCCTCCTCACTGAACCTTAGAAAGGCATGTATTTTTGATACATTGCATTGATAGCGCCTTCTTTAGACTAGAAGGACTTCATGGCACACTTTACAGAAAAACCGTTGATTACTATACAAAGTATGTGTTTGCTTCAGTTGCTCAATTTATTCAGCACTGTCATCAAATGTGCAAATGTCCATTGTATGAGCACACATAAAATTATTATAATCACTGACTTCTGAAATATAAAATAATCAAAACTCTTATTTTCATACCAGGATGAGGGAAGTCTATCATTCTATATACTTTTCAAATATAGGATTTATGTATGATTTTTTCCCCCAGATTTACATTAACTAAAATATGTTCCTCTGATGGACTGTGGTTTATTTTGGCAAGTTTCCCTTAAATTGATTGACTCTTGGTTTCGATCACTTGTGATCTTTGCATTTCCTAAAGTATCAGAAGGGCTGGACAAATATAACCAGTGTAACAGAGTGCAATGTGTCTAGAGAGATTTTCAAGCTTAGGATATAAGAGTGTTTGATTTCAAATCTCTAAACATTTCTATACTGGAAAGAATGAAAATAAGCTATTTGAAAAATAGTACGTTGTCATTATTTATTTTACTATCTAACTTTGAAAAAACAGTATTTCGAGGCTTACGTGTGATACAACAGGTAGCTTTTCTGATATAATACATTTCATATCTGTTCAATATGCTTGGGTTTCTTATTCTATCTTTTTATATTTGAAACACTTTTTTTCCAAAAATTTAACAGAAAACATTTGGAAATTATGCTGACATATCTCCCACTATTAATAGTACTTACTATATATCATCACAATCATCAGTCTAACACAGAAAAATGCATGGGAAAAGGCATAAATGGTAAAGTTCAAAACAAGTGAAAATTCTTGTGACATATGCATCTCCAAATTGTGTAAAGGAACACCATGTACATTTCAAATATGGCAAACAATTTCAAGCTGTTAACTTGTTTCCTGTGAGAAAGGCTCCTCTAAATCTAATTTCAAACTGCTTGGAAAGATGTGTTCCCTTGAGGGATTATTACTGTAACCATGAAACAAGAAGATTTAGGACCTTTACATCAAATGAACTGAAAGAAGCAAAAAAACTGTCCATCCTGCAAGCCAAGAGAAAGAATGGAATGAGATGGCTCTTTGACATCTGCTTACTGCTTCCCTTCGACCTGTAAGCAAGTACCTACATGTGGGGCATAAGAAGTACAGCTGAGGGACAGGCTGCTGCTGCACCAGGTAGTCCCAATCTTTGTAACTGCTGTTGAATTTTGGTGTCACGGAACCAGAAAACAGCCATTTGATTAATAATGAATTAGAGAAAAAAACAATACAACCACACCACAAAACCAAAAACCAACCAACCATCTTCACCATAGACCCTTATTAGACAAGCCACCACTTAGAAAGTTAGGCTACTGCAGTGTCATGGATCAAGGAGAAAAAAAAAAATAATCTACTGCATTTTATGAAATAGCCTCAGGGGTCCTCAAATGTTTTCAGAGACCTTGTACCACATCTTAATTAAGAAATTGTCTCATATCCCAATCATACCCCTTAGCACATACCGAAACAGTTTTTGTGGGGAAAAAAAAAAAAAAAGGTATTAAAAGCAAAGCAGAATACTTTTATTTTTTTCTCTTCATAAAGTTAAGTAGCTAGAAAGGAAGAACAAGGCCCAAACTAGAGAACTATTGACCTCTCTCTGGACCACCACAGTGTTCCACAAGCCAATCTGGGAACATCTGCCCTAGTTCATTTTCCTGGCAACCAATAATTTGCTCCCCATAAAAATAATTTCTGTACTTAGCTCTTTTTAACTAATTTTGATGAAAGCTGATATCAACTTTGTTCAGATTTTAATGTCTAGACCCAATGCTAGAGCTTGCCCTCACAGTCAGACCTCCATCTGAAAAGTTAATTTCACATTAAGCACTTTTTCTGCAGTATGAAGGTTATCTTACAGAGTTTATGCACCAAAAATAAAGCTACAAAAGATGGTGACTTATGGAAAAAAACAAAAAAAAAGATGCTTGGTTACTAACCATTTTTTCTCATTTCATTCAGGAAATAAAAGGAAAACAGTAGTGAAAATAGGTGTGTAGGGTACCTGAATTTCACAGAAGGGTCTTGAATTCAATACTTTTTTCTTCCTAATTCTCATCTGATATAGGGTAAGCTGTGGTCACATAACTTTAAAAAGATTTGAGATGATGACAGATGAAGAGATACAGCTATAGCTCTCTTCCTTTTTAAGGGTTTTTTAAAAACTGCATTCTGTCAAGGACCAGATAAAACTGGAAAGCAGAAGCAAGATAGAAAACTCAGAGATTAAATTGCTTACTTTTACAGAATAGGTAAGAAAACAATGATATTGCCTCTTTCTTCTTTCTGGTAAGTCCTTTAACATTTCCCTTTTCAGACTCTCTCAATCCTTTAACTACTCCTGTATCGTATCATCACCAATGGCATCAAGAACTTACAAAAGAAACTTAGTACAAAACATTTTCTACTAAGCCAAAAAAAGTACTTCACTCAATAGATATGAACAGAAGGATGAATAGAAAACGATTATTTACCCCAACTTGACATGATGCTCAAAGACCAGGAAATCTGTGCTAAATGGAACAACTCTTCCTGTAACTAGATCATCCTTTATTTCAGTAAAGCTAAACTTTATAAATACATACATTAAAAAGGGTATATTTTGATTTATAACATTAAAATTATATTTGCATCTTTGAAGCAGCTGGAATTAGGACAGCTGTTTGTGGGAATAACTATGGGCTTCAAAAAAATCCATGTTGTAGTTTCTTTGTTTAAGCTATATGAGTTACATTGTTCCTGGACTATGTGACAGTCTACAACTATCTTAAATTTAGGATTGAAAATTCTTGGTAGAATATGCCATTTCAGACAGGCTAGTTGAGAAATGAGGATAGAAAATGTATTTAAAAAGAGAGTTGTTTCTTTTTTGTTTTCTTTACAACCCCTTTTCCTAATCCCCTCTCAAGAAGGCTCAGAGCACTAAGAAATTTCATGATACATGAATGACATTTCTATGGGCTATGATTTTATAGCTGGCTGTACAGTTGTGCATCTTCCTTATAAATATGTACTGCATTTGCAGCTAGAGGAATCTAGTTTGAAAAGGAAGCAATATTTACACTAAAATTAGTTTTCTTCAAAGCATCAGAAAGAAGAGATAAAAAGCAAAAAAGCCAAAAAAACACCAAAATTCCTACCAAATACTGTAACAAAAGCAAAATACCCTAGCAAACATTTTGAAGCATGACTATTTTCACATTATTTTTGAGGGAAATGTTGTTAGATGATGTGATAATTGTTATAGCTACTTAAAATAGAACAAGGCAGTTATGCTTCTCCTTTAAAGACAGCTCACATGTTCAATGCATAATCTCTGCACACTCCTACCTGATCACTAGCCCTGAACTTGAAGAACAAAAACCACACATACATCTGAGGAAGATGCATTTAAACAAAACAAATGGGTACATTATGGTAATATCTCTTAACAGAGTAAGTTCAGTTCCTAAAAGGCTTTATTCGCAACATGCATCCTGTCTGCACATGTCCTAAAACAGTCTTCAATAACAAAATTACAGGTTAGTTTTCCAGAGAGTGCTTGCCTCATATAGCAAGGAAATAGTAGGTTAAAAAAAAACCAAAAAACCAACCAACCAAACAAAAAGACAAGGATAGAACTCAGTTTCCTGGATAATCTCAAAACTAAGAACAAGACATCATAATTATTTTTTTTCTTTTTTTCCCCAAGTTAAAGAAAAAAAAAAAGAAAAAAAGAAGAATGTATTTTAGGGAAAAGAGTGTTTAACATTTTCTTCCAGGCAGTATTCTCTTCAACTGTTTCTCTTATGTATTTTGGAATTGATTATTTCCTTCCCCATAGTAGCAATAAGAAGGTTTAAAATATGCATGGATTTGCAAGGAGCACTTAGAATGTAATAAGAGTGCGAACTTACTGTCTTGCTGATGTAATTTGTGCTGATATTCATACACTGGAGTCCTTCACTATTGCAGCAACCTCCACATCTGTAGATGGATACACATGGAGGTTTAAAGAAGGTGTTTGTAGTTGCTCCAAACTCTTTTCCCACATCCACACACACTTCACGTGGCATGCACTGAGTTTTTCTCCATTCAGTATCAATACCTGCCAAGTTACAATTTCATATGTTATAAAGTAACTGTTTAAAAACAATACTCTCCTGTAGTAAATTAGTAGGGTTTTGGGTTTTTTTTAGGTTTAGAACCAGAATATGCGTTGCTAGAGTCACACCCTTTATTCAGTGAAATACACATCTCTCTATGTTAACTTCTAGCTAATTTTTGTTCTTCATAACGACATGACTTAGTGTCATGAAGCAGAAGAAAAATCACAGTGGAGCTAAGAGGACTGGGCACATCTAATGACATCCGTAGCTAAACTCGTACATGTCCTTTATCCTGTGTCTAGGGTGAGCCCCACCTTGAGTGAAGTCTAAGGAAGTACTGCACATCTCCCCAAAGTAATTTTAGCTTGTCCCACACAGTACTTCACTTGGATACTATACATTAAAAACATTAAATTTTAGGCCTACACACTTAACATGAAATTAATTTGAATACATTTACTTTGTTAACTACAAGAGTATGATTTAAAGCAAAATGTTGTTATTTAGCAGTTACGTACACTATATGATTTCACCTGAAAGGTGGCATTTGTGCCCAGATTATCCACACAAATATGGGCAAACACTTTACATAGTGTTACAGAGCCTCTTGCCAAATGCAATCTTACACTAAATAGCCATGAGACTTGCAGCTGTACAGGCCCTTTACTATCTCTTGGAGACATTTTTGATAGGTTACACAGTGAAAAATGGAAATTTCACCTACCTTAAAGTCTCCATTAAGGTACATGATTTCCAAAATCACGTCAAAAATGCTATATCATGCCTAACGCTATAAATCCTGTGTCCCTCTGCCTGTAAGCACTTGCTCAAACTGCAAGCTAATTATACTTTTATCCAGGCCATCTGAAACACAAACGGGTATTGACATATTTGTTTCAAAGCTGTTTTTTTCTGGTTTCACCATAACATCATGACAACTGCCCTCTCGTAACAGGAAAAACTACCAGTGAATTATTTAGCCTTCTAAAGTAATAACATTAAGAGAAGAACACATTACCAGCTGTGACATAATTGCAGAAAAAAGAGCAGAAAGATTTCAATGAATCCAACTATTAGTGCCCTCTTTGCTTTCTGCAAAATCATTACAGCCTCTACAAAGCAGGATTCCTTATACCTGAAGACAAATACTTAACTTCTTACAACTACGGAGCTAAGAAAGTAGTCCGTACCTTTCTTAAAATGGATGTGCCAAAAATACCTCTGCAGAGCAACTTCTCTCATTAGGGAAGGTTGACTATCAAAGATTTTATTTTATAGCCACTACATCAAATCAAACTGCTGAGGGTAGTTTACTGATAATGCTTAGATTTTAAAATATTTTTGACGTGACTGACAAGCCTTCAATTTTAATTTATTGTGTGTTAGAACGTGTTTTGTGTCCTGTACTTACTTTTCAGGATCTCTGCATTATAGTGTGCTGCGGCAAATTTCAGTGAATCATCTGATCTTGTGTCAAAGCTGGAGTGTTCCCTGTTGTGTTGCCAACCTCCTCTCCTCAATTGACATTTGAACATTTTCCAGTATTCTGGGTAAAGTACTGTCATGAGTTCATCCACACTGGACACAGACCGCAACTGCTCTTCCAGGTCTTTGCTTGCATGAGCCTGTCAAAGTAACATGCAAGATTAATTACTTTCTCTATTACACAAAGTTTGCTGGAAACTAGCCTGAAAAACAACTCATACATTGTAAAATAAAATTGTGCTCAAAGAGGTCTTCATTACAAAAACTGCTTTTGTCAGTCAATGCCAACAGTACTACACTGACAAATACTGAAATGTTTTGCTTGTGCCACTAATTCTTTATCATACATGTAGTTCAAAACATCTGTTTGAGAAAGGAGCCTAAACAAGTCCAGTTTGCAAATTAAAAAAAAAAAAAAAAGGCATTTTTATCCTGGACATAAAAGTTTTCATGATAAAATTTTGAATGCTTAAACCTCAAGATATTTACATTATATTCCTGTTATTTAATATCACATACTCTTAAAATAACACCAAATTTTTGTCCATTTTCCCTTAGTCCAGGAAAATTGAAACACCTAGAAATGCAAAACCAGTGAGATCAGAAAAAAGAAAACACTATTAAACTGATTTTGTACCTTTTTAGGGAAAATTTTAATGACCAAATTATATTATAAAGAACTAGTCCTTAAATCAGTAGGAGTCAAGGGACTTTGGTACCTTTAAGAATCTGAACTGCACACTCCCTCACTGCTAAGAGTTTCAGTGAAACTCTTCAGGACTCTAAGCACTACGCTCCTTAACTTGTTTCAAGAGTAGCCTCAAATCCTGTAATTACGTGTTCTTATTTGCTGGCTTTTACACACACTCATCACAATTGCATTTTCCTAAAAGACTACAACTTACATTCTAATTTCTCACTTATCTGGAAGATTCCTCTCTCCTCTTAGATGAAACAACATATTGCATCAAAGGACTGTGGCTATTCCCTGCCCACACTCTCTCATCCATGAATTGCTGACTTCCCAAAGGGGAAAGCAGTGAGGAGAAAGAAAAGTATTGAAGAACCTTTAGCCACCTTCTCAGCCTACGTGGCCCTTAGATGGCAGTATGAGACATGAAATACAGAGGTACACTTTGTAAAAAATGTCCAGCAACTGGCTGGAGACTCTATAGAGGTTACTACAAAACTCTTGCTCTAGTCCAAGAAACACTAGGCTGCAACAGTGTAAAATATGTGTCTAAAACTAGAAATAGGAAAGTACAGAAATGAAATTTAAGATTCCTTATCAAACTCCATTACTAACAAAAAAGAAATTTTCAATTCAGCGACTTTGAACATCACTTGAGTAAAACAACCAGTTCTGAACTAGCTCACCTGAACCAAAACTGTCTCACAAACAACTAAGAGGGTACAAAATGGCACACGCTGTCGGATCCACTTCCTTATCAGGTGTCAAATACAGGAGAAACACTATGGAGTAAGGCAGATTCACAAAACTCATTGCCCTTAATACAGTTAAATACAGAAGCTAAAGCTACTACAGATTTCAAAGTCATTTTACACATAAAAGTGTTATGAAGTTAAAAAAATAGTTTCACTAAAGCCTCACTAACCGCAGGGTCATGACAGACTACTGTGTCCTGGGTGATTGCAACAATCAAGCTATCAGTCCCAGAAATACACTCATTCAGGACTTCATCTCTTTCCTTGCCTCCATGAGGGTCATCCCTGACCCCAGCCCCAGCGAGCAGTATCTTGGGGCCTTGCCTTCAGATTCATTGGCATCACAGAGCATCTCGCTCCCCACCACCCTGCTCTCCCTGCGGGACGCCACACAGGTCCTCAATCAGAGGGTCACAGACAAATATCCAAGCTGAACAAACAACTGAATCGGCCGTTGCCTTATTGCTTTCATCTCTCCTGAGAGGTGAGAGGAGCAGGGTTTGAGTAGCCTGGTCCCTGCGAGGCTGTTCTCTGAGGGCGCTGCAGGTCACTGCACCGGTGCAGTAAATGCCAGTGCCGCAGATGCGTGCACACCATGGGATGGGGCACAGCACGGAGGCAGCCTGTATATCCCCTCACAAGGCTGGGTGCCGGTCCATTACATAAAAGGCACAGGAATGAAAACTTCTGTTAAGTCATCTAGTAGCTGATCCTAGCAGGTACCAGCAGATCATGGGGGTGATGTTGAAAGAGAATCCAACCAAAGGTTCCCCAACCTTTGATGAACCCCTTCAAAGCCTGTGCTGCCCACTGTACACAAAATGTTGGCTATTGCTGTTTCCCATATTCAAGGTACAGGCCTAGATCATCAGAAAAGTAAGTGTGGAAAATGAAAATTACTTAGTTGATAAGAAGCCAGGGTATGGGGACCAGAAAAGAGGTTATATTTATTAGAAATAATGTGTGCTGATGAAATCTTCTTTCATCGGGAAATCAAGTCATGTCTTTCCAGCTGGACAGAAAATTTGGTATACAAGTATAAAATACGTATGAATAAAAGTCAAAACATGAAGAAATTAGTTGCTTTAGTAAAGTATTGTACCAAATCTAATAAAGTACTGTTTTCAACTACATTTCTTCCTGGACATTCCATGGGCCAGAGTGCCACGTGCCTACAACATGAAGTGCTTACTTAATATGGACAAAAGGAAAACAATTTCTGGAGTGGACATATAAAATGACTATTTTTTTTTTAAAGAACCATCATTATTGCATGTGAATTATTTTTTGTGTTTAGTTTAATAAAGCCATTTGCTTGTAAAGATGGCTTCATTTCAAACTTGCAAACACACTGTGGAAAACCAGCTTGATCACTAGAGGGCTTTTGTTCTCTCTCCCCTCTTCTGATTTAGCAAGAAAGGGAGAAGGAAATCCATGCATGTACATTAAATACAGTACATGTAGTGCTAAGAGTTCAGAAAAAAAATTGAAAATATGTAGATTTTTCAGTAGTTTTCCAATATTACCTTGACACACAGATCAATGATCTCTTCTGGTACATTGACTGTAAGTCTTTTTTAACTGCTGTAAATTACTCTCATCTGTGTTGAAATGTTTACACATGTGTAAGGAGCTTGTGGAGTGACTTAATTTTGTACAACAGTCAAACTTTATTGTTGACATGAACATCAAATTAAATCTTAAGTTCTGGTTGATTAGAAGAGTGTGTCCTGCATAAAGTAAAACCATAAGATCATGAAGAATTGTTAAAAAGAGTTTCTAAATTTTTAAAAGAGGAATGCAACTGTTTCGATAAATACAATAGTTGCCTGGCAACATTTTTTATTTTGTCCAAACTTTGGTTGATTTCACAAAAATATACTGTCTTGGTCCCTACCTTTTATTTCAAATTCTTTGCTCTTTCTTAATTGTGCATTAGCATTTAGTGTAGGACACTGAAAAAACCAACCCTAAAACCTCAAAATGGTTTTGAAATGGAAATCCAGAGTTCAACACCTGTTTAGAACCTATGACAAGACACAAAGAAAGTACAAAAATGTACTACAGATCAGAGGAGCTGTAATTTTTCATTAATCTTATGCAAGCCCAGATTAATGAAGTTTAGAAAGAAATACTGTCTGTAGATGTAATTACTGTCACCAAGCTAGTTATTCTCAAATATAATCTTAAGTTTAAAAAAACAAACAAACAAAACAAACACTGAATAATTGTTCTGTTGTTTGAAAGTAATATGTTAACAGAAATTGCGATAAGAGAAATACTACAACTTTTAAGACCAAAGTAAGCTTTTTGATAAATGTAAACAGTCCATGATTTTCAAATAATCAGTTGCACTGCACTCCACATGAAATCCTCGACCAACTGCTTAACATTTTACTGGAAAGACATTCTGGGACCTATATTCTACATGGAGAAGGAAACAGGAAATCAGTGCCATCAGTGCCTGCAGAGGAAGTTTTCTCTGTCCCACATTTTCTATTTTCTTTGCTCTTTTAAATCAGCTAAGGGGTTGGTTTTTTGTGCTTTTTTTTTTTTTTTCTTTTTTGGTTGGCCATTCCGCTGGTTTTGTCATTTTTACATATCATCAACATTGTTCTGCATGATCACTTAAAAATGTATAAATAAAACAACGTCTAGAAGTTACATTCTGCAGAAAGACTTTGAGTAAACCTTTGACTAGCCAATCTCTACAAGATGATAGATGATATTGAGCAAAATAACAACTTAACTATACAAGAATGAATTGAAAATACAGTATAGACAAGCTTGCTTCCTTTCACTTCTTCCACATTATTTTCCTGAGCAACAGGGGAAATGACAAATACACATACAAATAAAGCAGTAAAGCTTGATGACAAGTGCACTCTCGCTATTACTTATCTAACGTAGGAAAATTTTATTCTAAGTATATTTTTCACAATGTGGCTTTCCATTACATGGTATGTCCAGTTTTTCATAAAACTATAGCTTGCAAGGCAAGAGGCAGGATATCAAATAGGCTCTATATCCACTAACAAAATCAAATCTATAATAGATTTTCCACACATTACATTATTTGTCTTTCACATGTCCCCTGTGTCTGCCTCTACTATTAATAACAAAGGTCAGAACACTTAATATTTGGCAGCATGCTTGACACATAATTGATGGTGCAATGTGTTTAATGGTACTTTACGCATCTGCTCCGATTATAGTTGTCAGCTCATTTCATTTTCAAGGATTTTGTTGACAATTCTTAATAGGAAAGTGCTGTCTATAAACCCCTCCATTTTAATATGCTCATATTCTGTATTATTGACTGAGTAAAATGCATTAAAAATCAAGTAGTTAAATCTGAATGTTGAAACTGTGTGCAAGCAAATGGAAATATTGCAAAAGAAAAGTATGTATAAACACTTCACTTGCATAATATTTTATTGCAATTTTCATGTATTTCAGAGCTAGTTTTTTGGAAGTTAATGCTATAAAAAAGATCCTAATTAAATATCTTAGCCATAGTTAAGAATGAAATTCAACTCTTTTGTCTACCTCTACAATCACGCTAGAATAGCCCTGATTTTGATCTCATATGCACCAATTTGTCACTAGTCAAATTGAATGACTGTCCACGGTTGCAAACTTTTAAGTTACCATTCGATATAGTAACAAAACAGGGACTTACAGAAGTGAAACT